TATCCATCCCATTACCTGTAATCGGGTCATGAGTAGTGTGAACCCAGCATTCACACAACGTAACATCTTCGATGAGCTTCCACATAGTCATTTTTTTCTCTCAAAAATTATATGAAAGCTTTGGTAGAAAGTGTTGAAAATATTGAAATGTGGTGTAAGGTGGAAGATGAGGGTTAGGTATTTATAGAAAAAAAATAAATAAAATTTTCATGTATTTTTTAACAAATTTTAATAATTTTTTATAAAATTTAATTTAGTTAATTAATCTGGACCGTTGGATTTGAAAAAGATTCAAATCCAACAGCCTATACGTTGACACGTGACCAACAGTCATAATTCTGACCGTTGTGCCTTTTTTTTTTTTTTTTTTTGGGGAAAAAACGTGGACTATTGATCTCTGGATTGGATGGTCCAGATCAAGCCACATCACTAGCCATTAGATGTCAAATTCAAAATTTTTTGACCTTTGGAAATCCAATGGTCCAAAAACTAGCCGTTGGAAATCCAACGGCCCAGAAACAAACATGTGGCCTCCCCCATCAGATCCCTAAGTACGCCTGCGCTGGCTGGGCACCCCCACGTTTTCTTGTTGGGACATGCGGCCACGTAAGCATGTTTTGCAAGTGCCTAGCGCAAAAAAAATTTAAACTGGCCTGCGACGTCACGCTAGTATCAGCATGACGTCAAGCAGGCCGTCCCATAGCTCAGTCCATTTTGGGCTAGCCTGGAAACCAGCTTGGGTTGGGTGCCGTCTTATCCACATGGACTGGAGGGGATTGGCTGGGTGCCGGGCCAAAAATGGTGCTCGTTGCTGGCCTAAAAGTCCCCGGTGGACTTGCTTTAATGGCGAAGGCCCTACAAAGCTTGGAATCTCCACGACACTGTACTTGTGAATTTGAGACCTGATATGTTATTGCTTAATTACTTCATTTGTCTTTTCATGCTAACGTGGGTTTGACCTAATAACTTAATAACGCAGAGAGATGGAATGTTGAATTTTAAGTTTTAATTCAAAGCCATAGACGTGAATAAGGTTAGTTAGTTAAAACAATTTGTATGTCGGTTTCATAGGAGTTCTAATCTCTCTCCTTTATAGGTTAGAATATAGTATTCGTCATATGGAAAAGCGAAAAACAAAATGTCTAGTTGAGGCCATCATGTTTGGGCTTCTTGATAAGCTAATTTTATTATATTTATTTGCACAATAATACCACCTCAAAGAGGAGGGTTCGGCCCATACTAATTATATTGTTGATATAATCACTAGCTCACTAGAAACCGATCCATGAAACGAATACAGAGCAATTTCATCATGCAATACCAGTCCCACAAGAGAACCCAGCTAATGACAAGTCTGCTCCGACTTTGTAACAGGACAACAACAATTGGAGAAAGAGTCAATATAATCACTAACTGGTTTCATTTAGGTCAAAATTTAAAAAGTGAGACTGCTTAATACTATATTCTAGTGATAATTTTTTTCACTTGTAAGAGTATCTCCAATGAGGGGTTCTATTAGAGCATCCCCAATGGAGACTTTATCCTCCTTAATGCTACCACATTTGTATCTATAATGAAAATTTTCATCCCCAATTGGCCAGAAAATAGGACTACAGCTACCACCTGGGCTACCAACTTCAATTATTGGGTAACAAAAAGTTAGGCTACATCTAGCTGCAAAAAGTAGGGGACCCACACCAAATTGAGCACCCAATCTTGGTTTTTTGTTTTGTTTTTTAGTTTAGAAATGGGTAAGCCCCATTTTTAATTCCAAAACATGATTTTAAGGGTTTATTTTTCAAACGTTTAAGATTTTAAGGGTTTATTTTTAACCATTTGTTTGATTAAGAAAACATATACAAACAACGACTATTTTTTGTGTGATTGATTAGAAAAAAAAAATGCAGTGATTTGTGTTTAATTTTCTAGATTGAAAAATTCATAAAAAGGTGATGAAATTTAATATTGGTAGTTTAGAGGCCTAAACCGAAAGTATAAATAAATAACTTAACTAAATTGTGATAAGACAATCCAATCCAATGGTTGTTATGAAGTGAAAATCTTGTTTGATTTCGGAGAATGTGTCAATCAGAGAAAAAAACCCAAAGGATGAGATTGAGATAAGATAATCAAATCCAATGGTTGTTATGAAGTGAAATCTTATTTTTTCTGATTTCATAGAAACAAACCAATGGATGAGATTGAGATAAGAGATCCTACAACAATGCATAAGTGATAAAATCTAACTTGGTTAGAATTTGAAATTTTTAGGCTAAAAAGTTCATAAATAAATATAGCTCCGAGGAAGATATATAGCCTCTTATTGGGAGAGATACTTTTTAGAGCCCCAAAGATTCCTCAGAGCTCTAAATTAGGCTATATTCACCACTTTTCTAGCTCCATTGTAAAGCCCCTCATTGAGGATGCTCTTAGAAAAGTGCTGGATATAGCTCCGAGGAATCTTTGGGGCTTTAAAAAAAAATCTCTCCCAATAAGGAGCTATATATCTTTCAAACTATATATGGGGCTATATATTTTATTTATGTAGTACTTTGATTACACCGTAAATTTATTTTTGTCTTAACTTTTCTTAACTTGATTTTTGGACGTGTTATCTTAAATTTTAATTTAACCTAAAGAATTCAAATTCTGACAAGGTTAGATTTTATCACTTATGCATTGTTATAGAATATATTATCTCAATCTCATCCGTTGGTTTGTTTCTATGAATTAGAAAATATAAGATTTCATTTCATAATAACCATTGGATTCTTATCTTATCTCAATCTCATTCGTTGGTTTATTTTTCTGATTGACATTCTTCGAAATCAAACAAGATTTTCATTTCATAACAACCATTGGATGAGATTATCTTATCACAATTTAGCTATGTTATTTGTTTATATTTTTGGTTTAGTCTCTAAACTACCAATGTTAAATTTCATCACTTTTTTTATGAATTTTTCAATCTAGAAAATTAAACACAAAGCACTACATTTTTTTTTCTAATCGTTCACACAGAACATAGTTGTTTGTATATGTTTTCTTAACCAAACAAACGGTTGAAAATAAACCCTTAAAATTCTATAACGGTTAAAAAATAAACCCTTAAAATTGGGCTCACTCATTTCTAAACTAAAAATAAAAAATAAAAAAATAAAAAACCAAGATTGGGCTCTCAATTTGGTGTGGGTCCCGTACTTTTTGGGGCTAAATGCAACCTACTTTTTGCTACAAGGATTGAAGTTGTTAGCCCATGTGGTGGATGTAGCCCATTTTTTGGTCCATTAGGGATGAAATTTTTCATTAGAGTTACAAATGTGGTAGCCTCAAGAAGGATAAAGCCCCCATTGAAGATGCTCTAAATAAGAGTTAGGTTCAAATATCATGAACGACAAGTTGAATACAAGTTATTCTCCTCACCCCTTAGAATAAATATATCGTTATATAAAAAAAAAATGAAAAATAAAAAATTTAGAAGGTGAGGACATCATATTTGGGTCTTATCAAGTTTGTAAGTTGAGCTGAGCTAAGTTGATTATGCTCATGAAGACATAGTAACCTGGAAAAATATTTTACCAAAGGCACGTGGACGACATGGATGAGGGATGAGAGATTTTGCATGAGACGTATGGACATAGGAAAACTTAGAAGTGAAATGAATGAGCAACAAAATATTAGACGAAGGAATTTCAAATTATTAGATACAATACGTTGTAGAATTATCCCTTTATCTCTCTTGTACTACATTTTTAATTGATTTAGCCTAAATTCTAAACATAACCTATAACAAATCCAAATACGAATATGCAACTCGTACTAAACTCAGAAATTATATCTTCAAAGCGCCTTTTCTAACGTGGATGTACTTTTAACCTTTTTAATTAAAGGCTAGTTTGGTATTGTTGTGTTTTTTAATAGAACCGCTTCTACTGTGTTATAAGAATAAATAGCTGTAAAATAAAGTTGTTGAGTGTTTGGTAAACCTTTTTTTGTAAAAGTGCTTTTAACAAAAAAAAAAAAAAAACCAGTGTCTGAGTATTTGATAAACTTTTATATAAATTGTTGTAAATATGTTAAATGACTAAAAATGATATGGTACTTAATGTGATATAATAATTGTCAAATAAAAAATAATGTATGGCCAATCATTGTATTTTTATAAAATATGTGGGGTTATTCAAATAAAAAATAATGTATGGGCAATCATTGTATTTTTATAAAATATGTGGGGTTATACTTTGCTATTTAAAAATTTCATTAAATGAGAATTGATTACTATGCTTTAAAAAAAAAAAAAAAACACTTTTTTAGAAGCACGGTAGACTCTGATTTTGCTTTTCTACTATTCCAAATTTTTTAATAATTTTTTTTTTTTAAAGCATCGCAATCTCAAACCAGCCCTAAACATTGTCATTTAAAGTGTTTTTAACTATTTTTCAAGTGTTTTACGGCAGTGACAGAAAGAAATGAAACCTCTGCATTCTGGTGCAAGTTCAATTCCCACCAATTCTCCTCCCTCCTAACAACTAACAATTTAACTCACTAACAATATTATTTGTTACAAAATTTATTTTAAAAACACTTTCAAACAATTCTTAAATGCTTTTATTGTTTAGACCAGTATAATAACATAAAATGAAAGCAAAATGCCAACGTTGTTTTGCAAGGAAAAATTTATTAAATGGAGAAAATCAATACATTTGTTTTATCATATGCAGAGGAGGGGTAAATTGGACATATTGTCAGTCCCAAACCTAAAAACTATATCTTACAATTCCAAACACACAACAACAAGACAAAAAATAGAGACTGAAAATAAAATCCATTAATTATCATCGATGATTCCTGCCCTTGGTTAATTAGCTATGCTTTCTCTCTCTTTTTTCCTTTTCTTTTGTGTTTCACAAAGTTGCCACCTTTTCTTCTTTCTTTTTCCTCAGTGGATCGAGGCAGCAGCTTCATTAGCCCTGCTTCTACTTTCTTGTAAAACACTTGAGTCATTGTGACTGAGGTGTTTGATTCAAAGCCCTAAGCTGCAGCTTAGAATCTGCCTCATCTGCTTTGTACTTGTACCATGAAGCCCAATAGACATAGTTCACAAAGTTGAAGCAGCTAAGGATTGCCAAAAAATAGTAAAAAAGATGCAAATTGTTTTTGTTTAGGTCTTTTCCATGCAGCCATCCTAGTTTGCTCGGTGCAATTCTTCGCGTCACACCATTGATCACTGCGACGAAAATCGAGCTCAAAAAGTACCCGAAAGAAAACGAAATCCACGTGAATGAAGTGGAGAGCGACTTCATGCCCGTGGGAGCTTCCCTGTAGAAGAATTCAAGTAACCCTACTACGGTAAACATGTCAGCAATGCCGAAAATACCATATTGGAACGAAAGCCAGAAGAGGGATATCGGCTTTGTGACGTCCTTGTTGGCTTGGTTCTTTCTCTTCACTTCTACTATGCCGGCTATTGTCATTGAGATTGCGCAGAGGACTAGTCCAACCCCGACACGCTGAAGCTGCGTGATACCCGCTGGGTGCTTTGTGATTTTTCGCGCGAAGGGGACGAAGAAGAACTCGTAGAGCGGGATGAGGATGGACATGAACAGGAGAGGGATGATGGGGATTGATGGCGCTGGAACCTCAATGCGGCCTAAGTGGCGGTCCATGGTGTTTCCTTGTTGGACTGAAAATGTTTGGAGCTGAGCCAAACAAGTGTTCATGATGATGGTGCTGAAGAGAATTGGCAACATTCTTGTTAGGACCTTCACTTCTTCCACTTGTGTTACTGTGCAAACTTTCCATGGTTGGGGCTTGGAGTCTTTGCCAAGTATGGCAGCTTTGTCTAGGTAACTGATTCAATATCATCAGGCAGTAATTAGTACACTACTGTGTCATAACCAAAAAGTCAAGCTTTTTCCAGAAAAAAAAAAAAAAAAAAAAAAACTGATATACATAATTGGAAATTGCTATCTAATGAAATCAACAAAAAATGATTAAAAGCTTCCAAAAGCTTCACATTCTTTTCACCCTCAAATCACCAAACAGATAGCATATGGTCCAACAAGTTCACTGCAAAAAGCAAACCACTGCCACATGCACGGAAACTTTGGTGTAAACTATTCGTTATATTATCAGTTTCCTTCTTAATCATATGTTTCTCTTATGTTTTCTTCTAAATTTTGAAGAATTTTGGCATGCCAAGACGGGGACATACGATTTGGTGAGCCTTGTTTGAACTATTGCAAATTATTAATGAACTTTTAAGCAAAACAGTAATGTCACCTGAATTGATCTGTATGTGCAATTTTTTCTTCATTATAATTTGATTCCTTTTCACTGATCTCATACAGCTGATGAGAGCTCCCAGGCTGCGGTAAATGTCTGTTTTTTATCGCTACAACGATAACCTATCACATAATTTCGACACATACATTATACACCTGTTAACTAGTATTAAACGAGTTTGTGTGCTAATTGAGTTTGATTAGAGAGAAGGGCAGACCTGAATGACTCTAATGATGGGGCTGTCACCGGGGATTTGGAGGCGGTAGAAAGGCTTGCCCATAGTAAGAACAGCAAACCCGATAATGGGTGCAACCGTGCATATAAAAAATCCCCAGTACCAAGCTACTTCGGTGCTAACAGTCACAATGGCTGTGACACCAATAGTTGATCCAACTATAGTACTAAGCATAAACCAGTTGAAATATGTAGCGAGTGACTTTGCTTCCTCTTTCCTGTTAAACTGATCAGCACCAAGTGCGGGAAGCGCTCCCCTCACGCCGCCTGTTCCCAGTGCTAACAAGCACAGAGAAGCATAGAGCATGGCAGCGATACGGCCTTCGACACACTTTGTCAGGCAAGTTTCTTTTGGGTGCAAATGCTTTGAGTAAGCTTGAACGGTCGTCATCGCCAAAGCCTAAAGGTGTGTAACAAAAGCATATTCAGTCTTGTGACATAAGTAGAACTACAACAAGAATAACAAAATATATGTGATTTTTTTTTTTTTTTTTTTTTTTTGTTACCAGTATTTCAACTGCGCCAAAAATCAGGCAGGTTGTGAATCTGCTCAAGTATGTGTCCGAAATGAAGCCTCCAACAAGGGAGAGGAGGTAAGTTGATCCCATGAAGTTTGTGAGAAGGTTGGCGGAGTGCGCCAGATCCAAATGCATCATGTAGAGAAAGTACAGCACCAAGCTGCACATGTTTGCGACGAATGCCATGGTGTCCAATGCCAGCAACACTACAAAAACGTGGATAAAATTCAATGTAAACCATAATATACAAAAGCAAGGATATTAGTAGCGTACTAGGAAGTGATTTCTGCAGACTCCTTTTCTGATACTGGGAATGGCTGCTTACCGAAAATGAAGCTGGCGGCGGTGAATCCTCCTTTTCTCTTGTCCGTCGGCTCGAGGGAGCTGTAGGTTGGCTCGGCATTCTCTTCTGCCTGTGTGCAGAACATTGTGAAACATATTAACCAAAGTAACACAAAAACAACAGACATAAACAGAGAGAAGATTTAGGTTTCTTCTTTTTACTTACCATATTTGAAAATGGAGAATAAATTAGGTTGAGAATATTTGTTTTCGCACAAGAGGCCTTGAACATATAGCATACAAAGATGCCTAGAATTTAACCCTTAAGGTATCAGATTGATTGCCGTACTGTTGTCAACTCTCTCTCTCTCTCTCTCTCTCTCTCTCTCTCTCTCTCTCTCTCTCTCTCTCTAAGTTCATGGGAACTTAACCCTTTCTAATCTCTCTGTGCGCAAAAAGGAAGTAGTTTACTTTGTAGTTGATGGTTAAATCTTGGGGTCATGATTTTTCAAACCGTCTTGTGCGGGTTTAAATAGTAAAACTATGTACAATGACCAAATTTTATGTAAATGAAAAAAACTATGTACAATCCAGTAAGTGTGAAGTTGTATTTTTGTTTGTCAAGAATCCGATGTGAGTCTTAATGATTCACCCAAATACAGGTCTTATTGAGGCAAATGCCTAAGTAGCAAATGAGAACTTAAAAAATAGGGTAATGCTATGGAGACTAAATTTTGGAAATTAAAAGACATGGAAGTTGATGATTGATTTATTACTTAAACGTTGATAAACGTGCCAATTTTTTTTTATGTCACATTATTTAGTTTGTAAATTTAGTTTCCCTCACATTAAAATATATCTCGTAGAAAATCCTAATAAAGCAAATGCATCGTACATTTCATTATAATACGTTGGTGGTGGTTTGGCATGATCATAATTGGTAATTGGCCAATTTGATTGTTATTGAATTTGTCACTCCTCAGTGCATGCACCACTGTATTAAAATATATTTTCGATCTACCACATTATCAAACTTAAAAACTTATATTATTCTTTGCCTTTTCTGGTATTTGAAATTGTCTACATCATCTTTTTCCCATCCTCATTATGAAAGGAGAAATGCTAACGGGACTCTCTCAAAGTTCGATGTATATACTTTTCGTTACCTTATATTTTTAGCATAATTTTTGTACCAATATTATAAAATATTGTGTAAAAAATATGAGGTGACATAGAGTCTACGAAGAGTTCTACTTTTAAGAGTCTCTTTACCATTTCTAGAATGAAAGAAAGTTTTGAATGTGACTGTTCACGTCAACAAATGATTTATCGCACATATTTGAAAATTAATAAGTATATTAAAAATATTATTTGCTTGTTATTTATACTACATATTAATATAACACTCTTTGTCAACAAAAAAACCAAGAAAAATACTATGATACCCTTCCATGTTAATTTGAATAAAATATCACAAGTAATTTCGTCCAAAATTTTTTCTTCTTCCCTCACTCACATGTCATCAACGCATGCCTATTTCTTTTAAAAAAATATTATCCCACTCCCACGCTCCCTCTCTCTTTCACATTTTTCTGCAACTTCTTTTTGTTCCATATATTTTTAATTTTTATATTTACACACATATAGTGTGTAGGCATCATCTAGTACCAAAAAAATAATTGTTAACACTTTGGGCTCGTTCAGATAGTGCTTTTAAATGACTAAAAGCGCATTTAAATAAAAAGAAATACTAGTTGCTTCTTGCAAGATGCACCTTAAATGTTTTTCCATGATTAGCTTGCATTGTAACTAAAGATTGGTTTCAAAATATTTTCTCTAAAAACATTTTTAATCAGTTAAAAATATTTTCCAAACGAGCCATATACATCGATACAACAATCAGACCGTATAAAACGATTCTTCTCTTTGGTCAACCCTATAAGGAAACCCTGGGACCAAAGAAAGAAAGCATCTACCCCGTTGCAAATTTGAAGGGGAAGCACATGAAGTCAACCGTCGTCTCATTGATCCAAATACTTTTTTAGTAGTAGTAGTTGACCATACAGCTGAAAAGGAATTTGATTTCATCATGTTTTCTGGGACCAAGGCTTCAACAGATTTCATTTCTCAAGTATTTGTAGTTTCAAATAGGCCTAGCAATTCCTGACACAACTCGATAATCCGACGCGACATAATACGAAATTAACAGATGTTCGGATCGATACGATAACGAATCGGGTCATTATCGGGTAACCCGATAAGCATCTGTTAAAATAACGGGTTAGTTCAGGTATACAAGTAGGGTAACACGAATTTTATAATTTTATAACCCTAAAAAAATACTATAATAATTATATATATTAATTTAACAATTTTATACCCCTAAAAACTATAATAATTATATATATTAAATTAAATTTAAGAAATTGGTGACCATTGGATCGACTGAGATTTAATCTTAGCCGTCCATTGCGCATTAGGTTGGAGGCTAATATATTTTTATATGGTACAGTATTATTGTATTATTTCTTTTCATAATTATTTTGGTAAACTTCTCATAATTTGAATGGTTTTTAATGTTTGGTTTTTCTATACTTAGTTTATGCGAAAGAGAGTTCTGGCGTGGAAAACCTTACTGAAAACATCATCAACATAACTCTTGAAGGCAATAGATCAAGCCAAAGTTTCAATACAATTTCCTCATGATGATCGACGAAAATTGAGGATTTTGTAAAAGGAATAACATGCAAGCTTTGAGTTCCATAGGCAAGGTTTAAACTTTTGAGAAAGGCTTCACAACCTTGAAAACAAAAACTCTTTCATTTTGCATATCCTTGCACATTTAATATTTTGTAATAGACTAGTAGTGTATGAATGTTTTTTTATTAGGCTCTTATTTTCAAGTGTAGGTGTAGTACTTAAACGACCAATGTGTTTTAATGTTTTGAAGTAATATTTATGTGGCAATGTGTGGTATATGCAAATTTAAGAAAAAAAATATTTTTTTTTTCTTAACGGGTCGGGGTAAAATGACCCAACCTATTAAGGACCCATTATGCTAACGGGTGTGACACGACACGACCCGTTAAGATAACATATGTTACAAGAAAACGACACGAACACGACAAACACGACTCGTTTGTCAGGCCTAGTCTCAAATCAGCCTAATAATAACTTATTATATATGAAGCCAAAAGCATAAATCATTTTCCGAAAAACTGTGTGAACTCTGGCTACATATATACTTTGATAGTTACACTTCTTGCTAGTTAATGCATGAGCTGTTTCCTTAATTACAAGGTTAAGAAAGAAACCAAAACTCTCAAGAAATATTCCTTAAATTTCGCAAGTCGATGTTATAAAATACTCTTAACATACGGGAGATTCAATTTAAAATACTCTTAGTTCTGGAATTTTTTCGGTTTGGGTTCGGTCGGTTGCGATTTTGGTATTTTTTTTCCACCCATATACTTAACACACATGTAGAACTCAACTTGATCAAGAGCTCCTTCAGATCATGGGCACATTCATATTATACTAATAATCCAAATATTTTTCTTTTCACCCTTTTCATCCAATAATATACTTCAGAAGTTGCTTGCATTATGTGGCCATAGAAGGATATAATATTCCCCTTTATATATTTATCTTTATCTTTCTTATCTTGTGACTTAATATAATTAGTGATCTAACATAATTTCTTTAGATAAATATATATACAACCAGTGACAGTATTTTTTGTCAATCAATCTTCATTATAAGAAGAAGAAAAATTATAAAAAGGAGAGTGAAAGAATTTGCAACTGTTACATTAATTCAGAGGAAAAAAAAATCTTGAACCAATGACGTATTCAACAGCCTATCAATTGTGATATTAGACCACATGCTATCTTATAAAATGGCATGATAAACTTGGATTGATTGGAACTGGGGACGACACCTTTTTGACAACCAGTGATATAAGAATACGTCTAAGAGTCTAAGACAACCAATTATAGTTGGGAATTCTCCATCAACAGGCAGCACGGGTGAGGTGAAGTTCAATCAAATAATTTGATATCACTTTCAACTTTAATGGGTGCACCTCGATCATAAAGAGTTGGACCTTACCTCAAAAATGGTTTGTTTGATGTAACATAAGTTGGTCACAGAGATTGCTGCCCCACCTCCCATTTATATTTTCATCATTTAATTTCTACAGGCTTTTTGCAAAGTTGTTGCATACGTGCATGCTCCACCTTCTTCGCCCTCTCTGACTTCTCTTCCTTTTACCTCAAGATTTTACCTTCCCCTTTCAGTTAGCCTTTTTCCTGCAGCTGTGTATCAGCGCAAATTCTTCATGTCAAGTACATGTTTTCAGGCAGTGACATAAAAAGGATTCATCTGTTCACTTTCACTGAGTAGGATTCTGTCCCCTCCTAATCTCTCTCCCTTTCCATCCCTCATATTTAAACGGTTACAATTACGTGTTTTCAGGCATTGATCACTGCGACAAAAACCGAGCTCAAAGCGAAATAAAAGTGAATGAAGTAGAGAGCGATTTCATCCCCGCGGGAGCTTCCTTGTAGAAGAACTCAAGCAACCCTACTAATGTCAGCTATGCCAAAAATAGCATATTGGAACGAAAGCCAGAAGAGAGATTTGGGCTTTGTTATGTCCTTGTTGGCTTGGCTCCTTCTTTTGTGTTCCACCATGCCTGCTACTGCCATTGAGATTGCGGAGAGGTATAGTCCAACGCCAACACGCGGAAGCTGCGTTATGCCTGATGGGTGCTTTGTGATCTTTCGCGCGAAAGGCACGAGGAAGAACTCGTACAGCGGGATGAGGATGGACATGAAGAGGAGAGGGATGACGGGAATAGATGGAGCCGGAACCTCAAAGGAGCCTAAGTGGAGGTCCATGATGCTTCCTTGTTGGACTGAGAATGTTTGGAGTTGTGCCAAACAACTGTTCATTATGATGGTGCTGAAGAGAAATGGCAACATTCTTGTTAGGACCTTCACTTCTTCTACTTGTGTTACTGTGAAAACTTTCCATGGTTGGGGCTTGGAGTCTTTGCCGAGTATGGCAGCTTTGTCTAGACAACTGATTCAATACCATTAGGCAGTAATTAGTACATTATTGTATCATAGCACATAAAAGGCACTAATTTCTTTTAGCAAATCGTCACGTGTGCAGCACATAAAAGGTAAGGGTAGTTGACAGATGTCCTTAGAGATAAAATTCGATGAAATTGAAAATACAGTAACTAAAGTTTGAATTTTGCGAACTGCTGCGTCGAAACTTTGTGAACTGTGTCGAAACCTAAGGCACTTTCGAGCCGTTTTCCGGTCAAAAAATGGCGAACTAGCTATCAAGCAAGATACCATTCTCTTCATATCATCGAGAAGTATGATTTTCGTTTTCGAATCACTCGATTTCGTTGAGTATTGAAGAAGTTATAAACGTTTAAAGTTTACCCAGTTTCTGGCCAGTTTTTCAGTTTTTCCTCGGATCAGTCACCATTCAGACTATTTTCCGGCCATCTTTGACAACCATTGGGCTTTCAAATAGATATAATCTTGTTCTACACTTTCCTATCTTTATTTTGATAAATTATGGGTCGAATTTGATTAAGAAACGATTGAGTTATAAAGCTTTGAAAATTGCCCAAACTTTTGACCAAGAACTCCGGTACATTTAATGGAGTTTTTAACAGAATAACCAAAATAATGAATGGTAGACAATCTCAGGGACCATTTCTATTGATTTTCAATCTCATGGACCAAAGTGATGTATTATGCAAATCTCAATAACCATTTTGGCTAAAAAGCCTTTTAAAAACTTCACACATCCTTGTCACCCCTCCAATCAACAAACAGGTATCCTGGTCCAACAAATTGTCCACTTTCAAAGGCAAAGCCCTACTACATGCACAGAAACTTTGAGGTAAACTTTTGATTGTATGATCAATTTTCTCCTTAATTGTGTGTTTTCTCTCTTTGTCAAATATGACGAATGTTTACATTACAAGATGGGATATTCCATTTGGTGAGCCTTGTTAGATTATGTTTGACATGCATGAAAGAGCTCATTTATTGGTGAACTTTAATCATGAATTAATGTAATATCACCTGAATTGAATTGTATGGATAATTTTTTCTTCAGCATAATTTGATTCATTTTCGCTGATTTCGTACAGTTCATCAGAGCTCCCTAGCTGCGTCTAATGTCTGTTTTTTATCGCAACAACAATAACCTATCACAACATTTAGACACATTAGTTATAGGCGTATGAAAATGTAATTAACATAGTTTTTGTGCTAGTGAGTTTGATTAGATAGCAAGACAGATCTTTGACGAGAGAGAGAGAGAGAGAGAGGCAGACCTGAACGATCCTTATAATGGGGCTGTTGCCGGGGACTTGGAAACGATAGAAAGGCTTACCCATCGCGAGAACAGAGAACCCGACAAAGGATGCAACAGTTGCTATCAAGAAACCCCAGTACCAAGCTACATTCATGCTAACATACACAATCGCTGTCACACCAATAGTTGCTCCAACTGTAGTACTGAGCATAAGCCAATTGAAAAATGTCGCGAGCAACTTCGCTTCCTCTTTCCGGTTAAACTGGCCAGCACCAAGTGCGGGCAGTGCTCCCCTCACACCGCCTGATCCCAGTGCCAACAAGCACAGGGATCCATAGAGCATGGCAGTGATACGGCCTTCGACACAATTTGCTGTGCAAGTTTCTTTTGGTTGCAAATACTTTGAATAAGCTTGCGTTATCATCACCAAAGCCTAAAATTGTAACAGATTTTATAAAATTTTGTGAGATAAGTAAAACTGGAGAACTTGAAGAAAATAACCAAATGATGTGAATTTTTTACGTTACCAGTATATCAATTGCGCCAAAAATCAGGCATGTTGTGAATCTGCTCAAGTAAGTGTCCAATATGAAGCCTCCAACTAGGGCGAGGAGGTAAGTTGATCCCATGAAGTTTGTGAGAAGGTTGGCAGAGTGCGCCAGATCTAAGTGCATCACGTATACAGCACCATGCTATTGCTGGCCATGATCTAAGTGCATCCTCCCTTCTTCTTGTCCATCGGCTCGACGGAGCTGTAGGTTGGGAGAGGAATTTAAACTTGAATATAAAAAGCGAAGTGCTAACCATGCACCTCTGTTAGTTTTTATAATTTAAACTTGAATTATAACTTCAAATGAGATGGAGTTGAGCAGACTCCTACGGTTGGCGCACTTTCGTTTTATGTTAGGTTTGCAAGATTTAGGTTGTTTTTGGAGGATGTTGATGTAAAGTTTTGGACTTCTGCAACTATGTAGACTACTTTCTGCCAAATTTTCAATTTGAATGTAAAGGATAATATATGCCTCAGCCCATCTCTATCAAATTTGAAGATATTATGCAGTGTTTTAACACCATCTTAATTGGAGGTTAAGGAGATCAGACCTGGTGTGCATGTCTCCTTTGTGGCAATCTCTCAAAACCATAATTGTCCAACCACTGAAATGTCGAATTCCGGCTCATCAGAACCGTCTCGTGCTGTGGTTGCTGCTCGTTCCCGGTCCAGTAACGGCTGCAAAGCTACTAATGTAGGCTTCATTTCTTCGTGTTTTCAGTTAAATCACTTACCTGAATAAGTAGGTCTTATATTAAGAACGGTTATCTCGTATTTGAACAACTAGGTATCAAATCACTTCCTTAAACCGATTTTCTCACATTGTAAATGACTATTATGTTCAATTCTCCCGTCCCAATACCGCTTGTATAAAATTTTAAAAATGTTTACCTAACAAAACGGCCGTACGTACGTTTTACTAAAACATTAAACAATTTCATCCCAAACCCAAAATTACTCAAATGTGCCAAACTTCAAAAACCAAAGCCATCCTATCCTTGTTGCAAGGATGCAACAGCCTCCAACGGCTCAAAAAAATCCACGCCCACGTCATCACCAACGGTCTCCAACCCCACCCCGCCATTTCAAACAAGCTGCTCAACTTCTGCGCCGTCTCCGTCTCCGGCAGCTTGCCCTACGCTCAGCTGCTCTTCCACCACCACCTCCAAAATCCACAAACCCAAGACTGGAACTCCCTCATCAGAGGCTTTTCCAACAGCCCTTCTCCTCTCCAAGCCATTTTTTACTACAATCGCATGCTTTCATCTGGTTCCGATTCTTCTCCTGATACATACACTTTCTCCTTCGTGCTCAAGGCCTGCGAGAAACTGAAGGCCCGGAAGAAGTGTGAAGAGATTCATGGAGCTGTGGTAAGATTTGGGTACGAGAGTGACGTCGTTGTTTGCACCAATCTTATGAGGTCGTATGCGGGAGATGGGTTGATTGAGAGTGCAGAGAAGGTGTTTGATAATATGCCTGAGAGAGACTTGGTGTCTTGGAATTCTATGATTTCGTGTTACTCTCAAAAGGGCCTTCACCATGAGGCGTTGAAGATGTATAATGTGATGAGGAATGAGAATGTGGGTCTTGATGGGTTTACGTTTGTTGGGTTGCTTTCGTCTTGTGCTCACTTGGGAGCATTGAATACTGGAGTTCAGATGCATAGAATCGCTAGTGAAAAGGGGCTTCTGGGGAATGTTTATGTTGGGAATGCGCTTATTGATATGTATGCTAAATGTGGTAACTTGGATAGTGCTCGTAGTGTGTTTGAGAGGATGCGGAAGCGGGATGTTTTTACTTGGAACTCCATGATTGTTGGGTATGGAGTCCACGGTTGTGGGGATGAAGCAATCTCATTTTTTGGGCGTATGCTGGTGGAAGGAGTCCAGCCGAACTCCATCACATTTCTTGGTTTGTTATGTGGATGCAGTCACCAAGGCTTGGTAGAGAAGGGTGTTGAGTACTTCAATGTGATGATCTCTAAGTTCAATGTTAAGCCTGGAATTAAGCATTACGGGTGCCTGGTGGATCTGTTTGGCAGAGCTGGGATGCTCAAAAAGGCACTTCAAGTTATTAGGACTTCGCACGCCCAGGACGATCCAGTCCTTTGGCGGACCCTGCTTGGCTCTTGCAAGATTCATAAGAATGTAGAAATAGGGGAAATTGCCATGAGGAATCTAATCCAGCTAGGGTCATCGAATGCAGGGGACTACGTACTTCTTGCTACAATCTATTCAAAGAGAAAAATGCAGATGGATGTTGCAAAGATGAGAAAGTTGATTAAAACCGAGGGAGTAAAGACAACTCCTGGTTGGAGCTGGATTGAAATTGGTGATCAGGTTCACAAATTTGTTGTGGATGACAAGTCACATCCTGACACTAATGAAATTTATTGGAAACTGAGAGCAGTTGTTCATCGAGCTGCTCTGCACGGTTATGTGCAGGAGAAACCTTTTATCACAACTTCTGAGTTTCCCTTCATAGACACAGATTGTTTAGGAACTTCTGCTTCATGTCACAGTGAGAAGCTGGCAATCGCTTTTGGCCTGGCACGAACTCCAGAAGGAACGCCTTTACGAATAGTTAAGAACCTGAGAGTTTGTAGAGATTGCCATTCGTTTACAAAGTTTGTTTCGCAAGCTTTCGATCGAGAAATAATTGTTAGGGATCGTGTTCGGTTTCATCACTTCAAGGGTGGATTATGTTCATGTAAAGATTATTGGTAACTTATCCTAGTGATTTGAATAAAATGAGAATTTTTTTTCCATCCAATAAAATTTCCCTCGTGCCATCGAGATTTCTCGAAAAAAAACAAATAAAATGAACACAGTGAGGCAGAACACTGGAAGTTCATAATCTAATCTGCAAGTTGTAGGTTTGAAGCACGTAGTATTATAAATAAATACTTGGAAAATTTGCTTTTGTTCCCGTGAAGAAGGATTCCAAATTATCTTCATCCTTATCCGTTCAAAGTGAACTCTTTCAGATTTATAGATGAACTGGGAAAACAAGTATATTTTTTCAGAGCAGGAATGGCAATTAACCATAGATTTGCATATTAAACTCATTTTTATGGTTCTTTTAGCTAAAATGGTCCAAGATATTGACATAACTCCTCATTTTGATCATTGAGATTGAAAATTAATAGAAATGGTCTCTGGTTTGTCCGCCTGTCAATTATTTTGGTTATTCCGTGCAAAATCTCCGTTGATTTGTGAGTATTTTTGTCCAACCAATCCCTTCACTTGCTTTTTCATTTAACAGAACATTTTCACAGAATGACCAAAATGATTGACAAGTGGACAAACTCAACAACCGCTTCTATCAATTTTCAATGCATGAACTAAAATGAGGCGTAATGCCAATTGCTTCATTACTTCATTACTTCCAATTGATAAGCTGCACTCAGAAGCAAGTCTGTCCCATCGCTGCATCAAAAGCCATTTAGAAAAACAATAATGCATGCTCGGATCAACAAAGTTATGCACCAAATTTACTCACCAAACGACCTGTCAATATAAGCGTCAGTATTTTATTTACCACAAATAAATCTGGTTTACATCTATCTAATTTTAGTATATATTCTTCAAAACAAGCATATGCTCTTGGAAGTTTCTTACTAATTTTCTAAATGTTACCTGGAAGGAGCTTAATGATGCCGACGTGGTCGTCTCAAAGCTGCTCGAAGGACAATTAGTACTTAATAAAGTGTGTTAAGTGATGCGATTAAGAAAATGATTGATGAAGTTGGAGATGAAGACCCTCCAACCAAAGATGCAAAAAAAAAAAAGGATGAAGGTAACAGATAACAGAAAAACCATTTGCCGGAAGCAACCTCCAAAACATGACAATTCTGAGAAGTAAATGTCTAAAACAATGGAGTCTAAACAAAGGAGTTTGTGAGACCCCACTGGAGGGTAGAGGCAGTCTTAGCTTTGCATACATTCTAACAACTCAACCAAAGGAAACAACAATTGCATTGGCAACCTTCCACATGCAAACAATATTTTTATTCATTTATTTGAGTTAATATTGTCTAAGTTACAGAGAGAGATTCGAATTTAAATTCTAAAAGATGATACATTGCGTTAACCAACTTAGTTACACTAGTCGGTGGGTGTAGCCCAAGTAGCTCTTGTGGTGCCCCGTATAATACTTTCAAGTAACCGATTACTTTAAGGCTCGTAATATTGTCTCGTGATTTCTTATGATGGATTGGAAGAACTGTTTCTGGCGACTTTGTCAAATGCGATTTAGGTGTGCACATATTCATAGAGAAGAATATCAAGTTGCAAAAGCTTTAACTTCTTTTGGAGCAGAAACTTATGCTTATTATTGGTGGTTTACAGTTCCAGATTTTGTAGCCTCTGCTCATGCTCGTGAAATTTCGTGTTGTTCTTATTATTGTTTTCGTTGATTGTTTTTGCCTTTGCGGGTCTTGTCATAGTCCCTGCACTTGGATCATTTTCGTTTACTTTCATTTATTATTAATATACTTGGTGGATGAGGGACATATGGGGGTGTAATGGCCCTCTCCTCTTCTAGAGAGAGTAGGTGTCGCAGTAGGTGTCGCACACGTGATCATTGCTGAATAGCTAATCTCGCATATTCTTTGCCTAAATGTTTAGATTTCATTTAGCATATTGCAATCGCATTATATTGATAATAATATTAAAATCTGATTTGTTATATACATAATTAAGATTAATGGATTGTCCTATTTGCTTGGTGAAATATATATCCATATTCTCGATTCCCCTATCCATTTTTTTTCTTTCTATTTTTAATTGTACCAACTTTTGTTGGTAATAAGAAAACAAATGGACAACTTATTTGTATCAACATTAAGAACAACTAATGACAAAATTAATGATTTTTCAACTTCATCTAATTTTTGTTTCACAATTTGTTGTTTGAAAAAATGAAGGTATATGAAATTTATCGAACTCCGTTAGTGATTAATCTAACAAAATCTTTATTTGACAAAAAAAAAAGATGGAATGTATCGACTCATCACATTGAGGTTAAAGGGTCAATTTAATGAAGAATAATGTTAGTGGACTAAATTTGAAAAATAAATGACATGTCACAAATAAGAAATAAACACTTAAGTGATAATCCAATTATTTCTTGTGATTTAGTTTACAAAAATTAGTCTACACATTTAGTCTCCTGTAACATTATCCTTTGGTGAATAGAATGAGGTGACTCGTAGCCTTTTACTTGGAATTGACTAAAATGATCAAATGCATGTGGTCCAATATTTTAGTGAATAAAATGTCGAGTTTTCATTCATTCATCCTGAATTAGAAACTCTCTCATTTTCTAAATTATTTTAATAATTTCGAATCATTCCTTCTTTTAATAATAATAAAATTGAAAAATAAAAAAGCTCAAATGATCAAATCCCTCCCCTTCCATGAGTTGAATTGTCATTATGGAATCGGACTCACTTGAAGCTGTTAATTGTCTTTCTTGTTCTCTGTCTATGGGCAGTTGGGAGTCTTTCCCTGTGTTGGCTCGGGTCAAGCAGCTAGGGGGGGTGGGGAGGGGGAGTTTCAGAACTGTCGCTGGTCTTGGGTGCCCAGATCAGCTAATGGTGAGGCGCATGAACTTGCGTCGGCTGGTTTTTTGGAGATGATTGATGTTGTTTAGGTCGATCGGCCCCCATCTTCGTTGGTCTTTGTTTTGAATAATGATGGTATGCCATGTCCACATTAATTTGGTTGTGGTGGTGATTGGGGTGACACTTCCACTTGGTGGAGGGGTCTTTGTGGCCTTACCCTGTTCACTACTTGTATGTTTTCTTGGTGTTTGCCTCTCTGTAGGCTTCTAGTATTGCATTTCGTTGGCGTTCAAAAAAAAAAAAAAGAAAGTACAATCCAGCTAATCACACAAAAAAGTACAAACTATAAAAGTACAAAGGCTTACGGTTGAAATATTGCTTCTCAATTGTTGGTTGAAATTAATAAAAAAAAAAGAAAAAGAAAAAATGTATTACAAAAAACTAAAATGTCAAATTAAAAGCAATAAAATCATAATACATGTAGCACTATACATGCTATTATTTTTATATCAGAAACAAATATGATTTAGAATTAGCTCATATTATTATTTAACAAATAAAAAGCTTCGAGATGACAAATACAGTGCGAGCTTTAATACTCCAAAAACACTCTCATAAGTGATTTCTCTCACTTTTTACATTTAGGTTGCAAACATTGTAACAGAATATCTACCGCATAACAGTTAATTATCATTGCAAAATTTGGCACACCTGTTCAATTATATATAAAAATATAAATAAATAAAAATACGCACACATATTAAAATGTGTAATAAATCTCATAGGGTCAAATTACAAGTAGAAAAAAAAGAGAAAGATGCATAAAAAGCCATAGAATTGGGCAATCGTGTTGAAAAGAATCGTTCATATGATTTATCATTAATTATAATTAAGCACAAAAAAAATAAATAAATAAACAAAAATCTTCAAAAACGAAAAATAAACAAAAACATAAATCTTATGTGGGTCAGATCCGCTGTAGGCGCAAAGGGCCGCAAATGGGGTCAACGCTTTGCTCATAAAACAGAGGGATGGTCAAGGACTCAAATGTGACTCATGACTTAGCTTTGGGTCCAAATCTCCAATAAGGCAAAGGCATGCCCCATGCTTTGCCTTTACCTTCACTCACAACATCGACAACAAATAATCAAATATTACCAGCTTTGCTAAATCAAGCAAAAACCAGACAGTCTCGATTACGGGAAGTGAATTCTGCACACGTCTTTTTCTTCTTCTTCTACACGTTCTTATTTACTTTTAGTGTTCGGATTTTGAAAAATGATTTATGCACACTTTGTTTTACTTTATGCAAACTTCTATTTAGTTCTGATATATGTATTGGATAAATCAAAACAAGAATCAAGAAACAAAAATAAACAACCATGTGCATAAAAATACTTACATTCCCCCCTTGGGGTTCCTTGAGATGTGCTTATATCTCTACTTGCAGTTAACGTATTTTCACTGTACGAATTTCATAATCATAACCGTTTAATTTCTTAATCTTCATTTGAAGATAATCGATGCAAAAGGTTATTTGAATAGGAGATCGTTTAGTCATTCAAATGTGTAGACAAATGGACGGTTTATCATTAATATATTACTTTGTATTTGATTTATTTGAAACATTTGGATGACTAAACAATGTCCGATTCAAATGATTTTTTTTGTATGGATAATCTTCAAATGATATTAAGAAATTAAACAGTCCCGATTATGAAATTTCTACTGTAAATATACGTTATTTGTAAGTGAGAATGCAATAATAATTCAACAATAATTATTTATCAATACGTACCAAAAGCTTCAACATTCAACTACTCTGCTATAAGCCTATAAGTACTCGGCCCACCCATCATTTCCTGTTCATTCACACATCCACTTTTCTCTTCCCTTTTGGTCTTCTTGCAATAGTCTGTATTTTCTTTCCAATTACAACCACCAACAATGGCGGCTGTCTTTGCTCTCTTTCTTGTGGCTCTTGCCACCGTCTTCGGCAGCTCTGCCGCTGATCCTGACTTGCTTCAGGACATTTGCGTTGCCGACTACGCCGCCGGTAACTCCCTCTTCTTCTTCTTCATCAGTTCTTTATCTATATTTCCAGTGTTTCAGTATTCTAGTGCTAAAAGTGATCACAGAAGTTCATGTTAAAACAAAAAGACTAGAAAGTTGCCACGTTTCCTTGTCCCCTCCATTATAAAGTTGACTCTGTTCATCAGTTGCTTTTCATGTTGTAAATGATTTCTGGAAAGTTTTGTGTCAAATATTCCATCTTTTCTTTAATTTATAATTTTTTTTTTTTTTTTTGGTTATTTTATTGTGTTTAAGCCCAGTAATCATGGATCAATCACATTGAGCAGTTCATGATTTCTGGAAAAAATAAGAACAAAAACCATGATTAATTACCCTCTCTTCGATTACTTTTTGTTGGTTAGCTTTACTTTCTCACTTTTTTGCTATTAAGCCAACTAATCATCACCTTAAATTTATTAGTCCCAAGAATTAAGCACATGAACCAACTAACACACAAGAACCTGATTAAGAAAACCCAATTCATGGTTTACGAAAATTAAGTACAAGTTTTGCTTAATCCAACTCAACTGCGGTAACAGGCGTGAAAGTCAATGGGTTCGTCTGCAAGGACGCAGCAAATGCAACCGCAGAGGACTTTTTCAGCGCCGGACTAGCCAAACCAGGCCTCACCAACAACACATTCGGCTCCCTGGTGACAGCAGCCAATGTCCAAAAAATCCCCGGCCTCAACACCCTCGGCGTCTCGCTCGCCAGAATCGACTACGCCCCCGGTGGAATTAACCCGCCTCACACCCACCCCAGAGCCACAGAAATTGTTTACGTTCTTGAAGGAGTATTGGACGTCGGATTCATCACCACGGCAAACAAGCTCATCAGCAAAACCATCAAGAAAGGTGAAGTCTTTGTGTTCCCCAAGGGGTTGGTTCACTTCCAGAACAACAACGGGAAGGGTCCGGCTTCCGTGATCGCCGGGTTCAACTCTCAGCTGCAGGGAACGGTGAACATTGCACTCACATTGTTCGCTGCCACGCCGGAGGTGCCGGATCATGTGCTGACGAAGACATTCCAGGTGGGAACCAAGATGGTCGACAAAATAAAGTCTAGGCTTGCACCCAAGGTCTAGGGAAGGGTAAAGAGGCTTTGAATTTGTATGTGTTTGTGTTTGTGTTTGTTTTACAGTTTGGTGGGATGGCGGTATGTTGTCGTGATCATTGTATGCAGCCTCTCTCTTTGATTAATCAAAAGTTGTTTGCATTTTTGCTTCTGTGGTTGTTCCTTCAAGATTTTTACATGTAATTTTTCACTTGAGTTAAATTTGTTAGCTTCAATTCATAACAATGGACTTCCGAACGAGAAGTACTTATAAGCAACGGGGACGCCATTATGGCTATATCATTATTGAGTGAGAAAGCTAAAACGCATGACAGATGTTACTGACTTGAGATACTAAGGGAGGGGGAAGGGGAGGTGGGGAATGAACCCACGCCAGAGTGCGTAGGGATTATTCTTTTCCGTCACTGCGGTAAAGCGTCATCTATAAAAATAATGTTACATTTTTTTTTTTTTTACAAACAATATTTACTACACTAAGGGGTGGATGAGTGAGTTAAACCCCACAATGGACTAGCAATAATGTGGTTCAAATTCACCTCTTGCGAGAATCGAACCTAAAACATCTCACTTACATGTGAAGAGGAATACCACCCCTACTAGATCGTAGTACTAAGTGGCAATTGTTAGATTTATTTGTTCCGAACTATATAAGAATTGAAAGGAAATATTTTTGTTCACCACCCTATTTATCGCCGTCAGATGAGTTTAAATTTCAATATCTGTGTAGAGGATATACACAAATATCAAAATTTAAACTCATTCAACGATAATAAATAAAGTGATGAGTATTACCACCACTTGAGGATGATGAGCAAAAATGCACCTAAATTAAAAAGCACATCCAGCTCATATAAAACGCTCACATGTTTTATATGGTAATGGCATAGAAGCAATAATGTAGAATAAACAATAAGCATGAGTTGGGAGGGATTGGGTGGATTATATGATTAAACATGTTAAAAGCTTAATTTGGATATGATAAATAAACCGTATTAGGTTAAAACCGTGATTAGCTGTTGCTAACGACACTATTGTTTAACCATCATTGCAACGTTTCAGCCAAAAGGAAGTCGAAAGAAAAGAAAACGCTTCTGCTCTCTTTGTATTTACTCGACTTTTCTCTTCCAATTCAATCAACCACAAAGCTTGCAGTGAATTATGGACCTATTTGTTTCGGATTAACGTTCAAACTAGGCGAGGTATTACCATTCAAACTACGGTTACGTATACAATATTCGGATGGAAAATGATTTCCGCGTACTTTTTTTCTCCCTCTGTACTCCCCTTGTGTTTGCCCGGCGTTTCGCCTTTGATTTATTCAACACAAAAGCTAGAAAGGAGCACGCAAGCACACGTGGAGTGCAGAAATCAGTTCCCTGGTCGAAATCATCTTTTTATTTGGAGAAATAGATAAAATTAATAGATAGAGTGACTCAAATCGGTGCAACGTAATTGCCAATTCAAGCAGAACACGAACGGCAATTCATCTACCCATATAACTTCAAGTGTTCGATAAAACATTTCAATCTGTTCCGACTAAAAAACTGTTAAATCAAAACGAAATCAACAATACTTAATGCAGTTGGACATAAAGCACCTGAAAATTGTAGAGGTTTTACCTCGATCCGGTCTGCTGCCTGCCGTCGGGGATTGCAAATAGAACAATGGGTTTTGAAGGCCTGAGGTAGGGAACATCGCATCGGAAATATCCTTTCCTCTCCAGTTGCAGTATATCGCCACGCTTAAGGTTTCGCATGTTGGAATCCCCAAGCGCTGCGGTCTCCTTTTCGGTACATGGGTTAACAACATCGACGAAGTCCTCGTCTTCCTCGAGCTGAGGTCACAAGTTACAAAAAGCAAAAAAGGTAACTCAGCCTGTATACACCACTTTAAAGAAAAGAATCAGCTGACTACAGATAAGCCATAGACCCCCAAGTTACGTTTTTGTCCTTAAGGAAAGAAAATCCAAGGTGTTTGCAATCCACAGATTAATTCATAAGTAATATGCTAAGACGTATAACTTAATACTCGTTGATTGGGACATACCTTCTTCTTTGTTATCAGATGATCAAACTCCATCAATGAGAGCTTAACTAGCTCATCTGATTCAGGGAGCCAGGTGAGCTTCAATTTTGTGGTCTTGACAGAACCCTCAGGATGCAAGACCCCTGTGAGTTTGAGATTTCCGTCCGTGTCTTTCTCAATTCCCTTAACAATGGCGTTCCCCCAATCCATGAGGGTTACTTCCTCGTCTACTTTGATGGACCCCGCATCAGCATAATCTAGCCATATCCTCCTTGTGTATGTTGTTGCCTTCTCCCCAGCACCTTCGTACTTCTTATGCCTAGGAATGATGCGGACAAATGGTTTCTCAGGACCATTAGTCAGGGTCAACAACACGCGCCGCTCTTCGATGACAGCAGTATGTCTTGGGCATACAGGATCAATTATCTTCTTATTAATAGTCCAGAGTTTGTCCCATTCCATGAGATTCAGATTTTTTGAAGCCCCCTAAAACATAATAGTATAAAATCAGTAACAAAATTAATGATTCAGAAGAGTATAAATTGAATTCTCGACTTATGTATACAAAATAGTACCAAGTAAGGAAAAACAACTGTGAAATTAAGGACATAAAAGAAGCATTGGTCAGGCATTATATATTTAAATGTTATAGGCATAGCTCATAACTTCTTTGATGCATAATATAATACTACGACAGACTGGTGTCCTACCTGCTCAAGAATGAATTGTATTAATGCTTCAACTTTGAGACCTCTGCGCACAATTCCTTGGACAGTTGGAAAACGAGGATCGTCCCATCCACTAACCTTCTCATTTTGAACAAACCACAAAAGCTTGCGCTTACTGAGAAGAGTATAAACCATATTCAACCTACTGAATTCATAGATATGCACTTTTCGCAGTCCCATATCCTCTTGAACTCGATAGTACTGAGCATTGCGGTCATGATACTCACTAGATCGAAGTGCATGTGTAATACCTTCTATGGAATCAACAAATGGACAAGCAAAATCATAAGTTGGGTATAAGTTGTACTTGGACCCAATCCGATGATGTGGTGTTGGATTGCAGCGATAATAAACAGGATCTCGAAGAGATTTGTTTGGATCCTGCATATCCAGCTTCCCACGGACACAGCACTCCTTACCCCTCTTAGACCCAGCAATTATTTCATTCCATAATTTTAGATTCTCCTCTACACTGTTGTTTCTACATTTTGATTCAATGCCATCCATCCTTTCTTTCTTCATCTCCTCACGTGGCGTATCATCAACATATGCTTTACCCTGGCGAATCAGATTCTCAGCCATTTCCATCAACTGCGGGAAGTAATCTGAAGTATAGGTAACCGTTTCATACTTGATACCCAAAGTCTCAATATCCTTGAGAAGATTGTCCACAAACTCATTGCTTTCTTTATCAGGATTTGTATCGTCAAACCGCACAATAAGCTGACCCTGATACCGCTGAGCAAAATACTGATTCAATAATGCTGCCTTCGAGTGCCCAATGTGAAGATAACCACTGGGCTCTGGTGCAAATCTCAGTCGAACCTTTCCAACCTCCGCTTCTGGAAGATCTACTTCAAATGTTGGCTTGCTTCCTGCCTTATCTTTCCAGATACATCTCCATTTACACTCTTCAACTGCTGATCGGCCTGAGTGCCTTTTGTTTTAGTTGCGGTTGGCTTTCTGATCCCTTCTTGCCAATGAAGGTAGCTGTGACTTCATTCAGGGCATCACCATATTCGGCAAAGAGTGAATTGAACCACCGAGAAAGGTTTGGATACTTCTTTGAATTCCTCAAACTCTCCCATCTTTTCCCAGTTCCTGCTAAGAAAAACGTATTAGGGCTGGTTCGGGATTTGCCTTTTTGACAGCCAAAGCGCTTCTAACTAGTTTGGTAGATTAAGTTAAAAAGCATTTCCGGGTCACAGAGGCGCTTTCTGGAAAAACACCTGCTAGGTGCTCCTTCAGAAAGCACCTCTTTTAATAAAAATTGACAATGGTTACAATAAAAGCACGTCTAGTAGAATTGCTCTCGAGCAGAAGTGCTTCTTACAGAAGCAGTCCGAAACCTCCAAAAAGCACTACTTTTAATGTTACTTGTCCTTAAATTTCTACTTATTCGCAACCATGCCATATAAAGATCAAAATTAACGACTAACAAACCGTGAGAGAAGCAAAGCTATACCTGCAAGGCCTGACCAGATTGCGATATCGGCGATGGACAAAGATTGATTAGCAAAAAAGGTACTGCTTCCCAGATAGTCATCCAAATGCTTACAAGCACTCTCAAACGCAGAACCCTGTGAAAGCACAGGCGCGTACTCAAGCCACTCATCAATCTTCGCGGCTTCGAATGGATTGTCACCATACAATTTCGCAATTCGGCCGATGTATCGGAGAAGTACATTTTTTCCATGCAATTTCAACCTAAATCCAAAGATTTTTGAGATGCATTGAACATGAAGTTTAACCTTTTGCAAAAAAAAAAAAAAAAAAATGGTACAAACAAATTTCATAGGGCAAATAGTAAAAGGGTTTAGGGTTTACCCATTGGAGAATTGCAAAGAATAAGGGAATCGGGAGGGAGAGAGGCGTCGGTGGGGAGAGAGATTCCGGCGAGCTTGGCGGCGAGGAGCTCCGCGAGGGGAGGGTTCTCGGCGGCGAACGAAACAGCCTTAATCTCCATCATCAGAATCCAAGGTGTAGATTTTGCTCCTGGACTTGTTGCTTGATTGGCTGCTGTAAATGTATTGATTGAACGAAGAAGATGAGATGAAGAGAGAAACGCAAACGACGGCGACGATGTGCGAAACCAGACAACTGATCCAGTGGGCGTACAAAAAGCAACTCAAAACTAACGGACCGGACCGATGGGCCGTTTTCTTTCCTCAATCAGGGCTAGTGTTTGAAAAACTTGTTTTGATCTTTAGGAATATCAGATATAAAATAATGCAGTTGAACGTTTGACAATTGTATTTTAAAAGTGATGGGTATGAAAAGCAGTATAAATGCATTTGGAATTTTTTGATGTGAAAGTGATATAATTGTATATAATAACGACGGTGGTGAAGGCAAAGGTTGTGATGGTGGTGGTGGTACCAATAAAGGGGTGTGGTGGTTGACTGCTAAGGTAATAATGGTGGTAAGGGCAGGGACAACAGTGATAGTGGTGGTTGTGGGTTGTGTTGGAAATGGTGGCAGTTGTGTGGGTGGTGGTGGCGGCGGCGGCAACGATGGTACTGGAAGCTGTGGTTGTGGTGGTAGAGGTGGCGAATATGGTTGTGGTGGTGGTTTTAGTGGTTTTAGTGGTAGCGGGGTGATTGTGGTGTGGTGGTGATGGCAACAATAGTGGCGATAATGGGACTGGTGGTGCAAGAGGTTAGGGTATGTAATGAAAGGTGGTGGTCACTTTGCTTTCTAATGATAAAATAAGTCCAGAAGGATAAATAATGTTATTTTTTTGCAATTAATGAACGTATTATAGGAATTGAAAATATTCATTGAAAATAACAACGGTGGTGAAGGCAATGGCTATGATGGTGGTGGTGGTACCAATAAAGAGGTGTGATGGTTGGGCTACTGAGGTAGTAATGGTGGTAAGGGTAGGGACAATAGCGATAGTGGTGGTTGTAGTTGTGTTTATGGTGAGGGTGGTGGTGGTGGCGGCGGCAACGATGGTAGTGGAAGTTGTGGTTGCGGTGGTAGTCGTGACGAGTTTGGCTGTGGTGGTGGTTTTCGTGGTAGGGGCGTGATTATGGTATGGTGGTGGTGGTAACAATGGTGGTGATAATGGCATTGGTGGTGATAATGGCATTGGTGGTGTAAGAGGTTAGGTTCTGTAATGAAAGGTGATGGTCACTTTGCTTTCCAATGATAAAATAAGTCTAAAATGATAAATAATGCTTTTTTTTTTTTTTTGGAATTAATGAGTGTATTACAAGAATTGAAAATATTCATTGAATGCTCAATTTTGCTTTTTATTAACGCAACTTTCAAAATCAACCTACAGGCCTGAAAGCTATTTCTTTTAAACTAAGCGGAATATTTTATTTTTACCAAACATTTTTTTACTGCTTAAATTTAAAGTGAAGTAGTTTTTAGTGAAAAATAACAATAAACCTCTACTCCTATTTTTATAAGGAAAATTAATGAAAAAAGCTTGAAAACTTTGAGTTTTAACGATAAAGATAAAATAAAGGATAAAGTGAATAATACCAAGATTGCATTTTTAGTGTAAAAATGTGATTTTTCGTTAAAGTGAACAGTACCGGAAACTTTTCGTTAAAGTTCTCATCTTTATATGGATGAATCTTTTAGTTTCCTACCACTTTCGGATGAGAAAACAGACCAAGATAGAGTGAAGCTATAGATAACGCTGAAATAAAATTTAATTAGGTCGACGAATTACAACAAGACATAATTAAGCCAAAAACATGAAATGGCGGACAATTACAAACTTCATCCTCAGCACGAAGTACAACATCTCTTACCGTTTCTCTTTCTATTGTTCTTCACACATTGCTCTAAAGTTCTGCAAATCCACCACAAACCAACACCATTTAAAGAACGCGCGACAGACGTGCGGATTTGCAGGTTAAAACCAACACGAATGATCCAACGGAAAAAGTTGTATGCACACTTGACGATTTGTGTCATCTGCCGTTGAAAATTGTCTTAGGACTTACATCTTGTTTGCCGCGGCGAGTTCTACGGATATCATGAAGGTTGACTTGCCTTCTTCCCTAAGATACCGTACTTCTCCATTCATGAGCTTCACAAGTTTACAGCTAATGAGCAGGCTAATGCCCTCCTCAGATATGTCTCCGTTGTTTCCAAACATCTGGTTCAGCAATCCTTCTGGAATCCCACCACCGGCGTGTGTGATCCTGTTTCAATATATCAAATCAGCATCTCGTGATAATTGCTTAACTTGTAATACAAGCAACCACATTATACATGAAATCAGTAGTAGGTTATGAATTCAATTGTGAAGCTGTACCTGAGCTCCAAATGCACGAGCTGAACGGATTGTCCTAACTGATCTTTGGTCAACTTAGCTTCGATAGTAAGCTGGCCTCCAGTTGGCATAAAACTAACTGATACCGCTAAGAAATCAGCTACGACTTGTTGAAGCCTAAGACTATCCCCATATAACGTCTCAGTCATGATATCTTCCGCTGCATCGTGGACAATGCGGATGCTCTTGGCATTGCTCTTAATCATGACTTGACTGACAGCGGCATTCAGTACTTCATGCAACGTAAACTCGACCATCTCCAGGTCCAGGTAGCTGTCGAGGGATCAGAAAAACAAAGAAACATTGTCCAGTCAGAATAAACAAAGTCAATAGCTTCTCCAGAAAAGAACATGTTTCGGATTAATCTGCCATTTTATGAACCGAAAGTGGGTTGTTGTAAGGATATCAAGGTGCCAGCATGTAAGTTGTTTCAGACAAACAGATCTACTATAAACCAATTATCCAATCTGTGTAGCTTAATGTGAATTAAAAAAAATGTTAAAAAAAAAAATCCAAGGTAAAATAAATCAGTCTTCAACGACTAAATCATACCCCTCAATGATGGTATCAAGATCTGAATCATCCAGTATTTTGTTGAGCTGGTGCTGGCACTGGGCGCTCGTATGCAGAAGCTGTTGATGTTCTGCTCCCAACTCAGTATCCTCCATCATTTTCCGAGAAAATATTATACCGGCTAAAGGATTCCGGATCTGCCTTCTAATATAAGACAATTCCTTCAATCTCTTCACAGCAGTTTGTTCTGATAAGCGCTGGACATGAAGTGCTTGTTGCAGCTCTGGGCTAGCAAGCTGCAAGAAGCAAAAGACCCCAGTGACTGAGCCCTCACTGTTCACTTTCTTACTCACGCACAGCAGGCATTCTATGTGTTTTCCATTACGAGCACAGAAACCAAAGGGGACCTTTTCGGACACCTGACCTGTCATGGCATGGTTAAGTACAATACCAAGATTTACGAAAGATTCTTGGCTCTTGAGAGGACAACATGCCATGTTGATCCCAAAAACCTCTCCCAGAAGCATTTTATCCATTACCTCCTCTCGTTTCCACCCTGTTAACTTTGTCATTGCTGAATTCCACTCAGAACACCAGCCAAATTCATCTGTACCAAATATTGGGGGAATCAAGGGGCTAGGGTTTTGTACAATTGCTTTGTAATCACCCTCGATCCGGGTGAAATTGTCCATCACATTCTTCTGACCAGTGATATCCTGTGCCACAAAACACACCCCCACAACATTTTCCCGAATGTCTCTACTTGCACAAGCATTCACAACTAAGCTGATGGGACCAAGATCAGCCCTAGAACCATGTGTTTTTATCTCGAATTGGATGTTTTGTTCCTCTTTGCCTGACCAGGAAAAAAAAAGGATGAGTTTAATACAAACAGAGGACTATAATTGAAAACCTAATACATATCCATACAAGCATATAGCTATTTCCAGTAATAATTGAAAATCTAAAATGCCTAAACTGTCGAATAGGGTAAATGAGCGACATACCATGCAATGCTGAGTCCAACATTTTCTTCACCACGCTAGTCGAAGAATCCTCCACGAGTGTGAGCAAATGCTTTCCGATTGCTTCATCAACAGGAAGACCAGTTAACTCATCGATTTTTGTATTCCACCCATTAACCAGCCCATCAACATCAACAGCCAAAATTGGAACCGTGGCTGTTTCAATTAAACGGACCATCTCACTTGTCACAGCTTCCAGTTCTTGCATCCCTTCAAGTTTGAGGTCACTAAGCCTTACATTAATTGCTTTGGTGTTTGCTTCCAAGGTGGTTTCAACATCTTTGAAAGCATTCCTCAGAATAAGCTGCAAAGAATGAATTGCATCCATTTCATAGTCCTTCCAAGGCAAGCTCCTCGTCTTGACAACTTCAAGGAAAGCCTTGAATGATGATCTAGGGTGCATTTTAGAACCATCATCTTTCTCACCGGTTTCATGTTTTGCACCACCCCATCGAATTTCTGCAGCAGTGTGGGATCGAAACCAAAAGAGCACGTCCTTGGAAGTTATCCACACAGCTGCCATTCCACATACTACATCACCAAGAGCAAGAGCCCCAGGGAATCCTGCGTCATACAAGCTATCTGTACTCAAACCCGTAGAATCCATATGGTACTCGGAGAGCCATGAAGCTATGTCATGAAGCTGAAAGTCACTCAGAGTCATTCCAAGTCTCCATACCTTGTTCTTGTACAATAGGGCAGCTCCATCACATTTCACTAGATCCATAACATTAGGGCTCTGTGACATAATACCTAAGGGTGCATCTCGTAACAGCATATCACACAACAGCGTTTGGGTGCGCAGGATGTTCTTCTCAACCATCTGATCTTCCATCTCTATCTCCTTATTGACATGGATGGCAAACACTTGAGTTAAAAACTCACAGGCATACCTGAGAGGGAAAGGAACAAATCTTGGACTTGTATTATGGCATACTACCAAACCCCAAAGTCTCTTTCTTTTTTGAGGCGGAACAGAATCAGGATCTCTCACCTCGTCATCCCCCTCATTAACAACTACTGCCATAACAAGAGATGCGATGGAATTCATATTCTTCATATATTCCAAATGGCAACTGTGTGGGGCTCTCAGGGTTGAACCGCACAATGTGAGATCCAGCGGAAGCTTCTCATCTTGAAACACCTTCACATGTTTCGCACCACAATCGACAATCATGCGGACCTTATTCTTCATAAATAGGAACCGTGCAGCCTGAGGTATGTCAGTGGATGGATAATGCAACCCTAGATATGGCTCCAGGCCAGGCTTCGTAAGCTCAGAGACCACTTCTCCGTGATCATCATCATGAAATTTATAAGTCATCACCCTGTCATAACCGGTGAGTTCAAAAACCTCTTGGACCATTGTATCACAAAGCCTCTCCATGCTCCCGCTAGGCAAAGATTGCAATCTGGCAATTGCTTTGGCAGCAAGCTTGTATGATTGCAGCGCCCCAGCAGCAGTCATAGGCACTTCATAAGGCTTCACCGGCTCAAAGTCAATGATCAAACTGCCCGTTACTCGATGAGTTATTGCATAGAAAGGCTTGCCAGAGGTCTTGCAATGAACTAAGATGGGATTTAAGAGAGAAACCTCTCCAAATCCGAGGGCCTTATGCAGTGCGGAGGCACTAGGGGCAGTGAAAATTGTTCTTATATCTGTTCCTATGCCAAGGACAGGGGAGTCCCCAACGCTTGGGACTGCATGACTGACCGTGGTCAGCATTTCAGGAGCATTCGCACTGTATGCAATGACCTTGAAAGTCTTCTCATCCAAGGCTAGCAAGCATCCAAACGGTTGGATCGTCTTGCCTTTCTGTATGTTATGGAGATAAGCAGTGGTCACTTTGTCGGACCTAGGTTGTTGATCTCCACCAACTGAACTGCCGATACGCACTGAATTCGAGTAGTCAAAGGAACTACCCGATTCCTCAAAATCGGCATGAATCTTTGCATCAACAGTTGTCTGAGCAATGATTCTAGCGCTGTGTCTAGACCGCCCTGGATTGCTTGATGAGTCACTAGGTCTAGAAGAAGACATTCTCGCACAAACTGCGAACAGAAAACAAACTAATCAGAAAGATATAAGAAGCATGCTAACATGAAACGTTGGAAACCCTTCTGAAGATATTGCTAGTATTGATCCATAAAACAGAAGGCTGATTCTAGTAATCATTGAGTTTATTTTCATCATATCAATCGCCGTTCAGATCATTGGAATACTAGGCGTAAAAAATCAGTAGCAGAGCTCAGGATTTTTTACTAATACGCTTTAATGATGCTGAAAATACCAAAACTTTTACACGACTGCATCAACATTTTAAGATACGAAAACTTATCGCAGAGAACAGAACTCTTTCTTCTCAAAACAGTAAAAACACAAAGATCTTTAGCATTTACAAAAACTGACAGAAACAAGTGAAACTAATTACAACAGAAACTTTAGTGAATGTAGAGCAATTACTGAACTTCAAGTTTATCTGATATCTTGAACAATTATCTACCAATTACTTCATTAAAGCAAACAAAGGTAAGAAAAACGTAGAAACAACTAGTAATTCAAGAAGCCAAAGTAACTAAATCAAGACTATGAGTTTAAATCCCCTAGGAGCCCGAGTTCAAATTCCCTTCAAGTTGGATTAGTTTAAAGTAAAATATCGCTTATTCGCTTATATCAGAAAAATCAAAAACTAGGAGTCAACAACAATTCTAGCATCAAAAGTGACCAGAACCAGAACAAAAAATAAAAAAATAAAATAAAATAAATTAGGCAAGAAAAGAATCGCATACAACCTAACCTTTCTTCAGCTGCAGTACAAGCAAGCAGAGCTCAACTAAGTCTCTCAGGTGCAAACCCAACTTATAGAAAAACCAAACTGGCAAACAAAAACATGGGATTACTACAAAATTGTTATTAAATTAAAAAATTGTCCACTGAAGTCTCGAACTTTCAATCCCATCCCCATCTGTCCCTGTAATGGACACTAATCCCAGCGGCAGGACTGGACTGTTAGTAAACAAAGGAACCGCCTTTAATAAAATAACAATAAAATAAAAAAAGACAGTACAAATTTAAGAAAAGCAAAAACTATGAGATGGGTCCACTCCGAAAACACAAAACAATGGAGAAGGGTTTCTGCAGCTGGAAAAAGCTACCAAATTTGGCGGGGAGGGATTGGATGAGGGTTTTAGGTACCCTTTCCAAATGGGTAAATGGAGTTAGTTGATGACAGCCATAATTAGCAAAGACCATCATCTCTCACTTCCCCTTCCAATTAATCCATGGAAATCTGGCGGTTCCCAGCTGAAAATTGGAAAGAGAAAGCAACCCATTGGGCAGAATATACAGGTTAAACTATTGTCATCAATGGCGCAGTTAAGCTGCTTCATGATTACTTCATAAACTAATGGGAAAGTTAGGTTTCCAGAGAGTGGGGAAGTAAGAGGCGGAGAGTCAGGGATTTTCTAGGATATGGGATAAAGGAAGAATAATAGTACAGGCGTGGGATGAAATCAAAAGAATGAGCGGGGGGCTTATGAGGATCACGTGCGGTAAGATTATTGGTGACGGAGGATACGCATGCCACGTTGCTCTCACCCTCAACGTTGTATTATTGAGTGGGGGGACTCAGAATGTTACGATAATGATTAAGAAGCGGGAAGAGTATCCACTCTTGAGCTCAAGATGGAGATCTTCTTGATTATGAAATTCGGACCATTCAAATTTAATTTAATATTTGTAATTATTATAATTTTTAGAGGATTCTTCTGTTTGGAGTCATTAAATTAAATTTGAACAGTCCGGATTTCGTGATAAGGAGAATCTTCATCTTGAGCTCAGAAGATGATCCCTTTCCTAAGAAGCGTACGTAAGCTTTTAGGGTTTTTGAATTTTAATTCTCGAAGAAAATAAAAATTTAATAAAAATTTGAAGTTAGATTAAATATTAATTTTAGTCTTCTAATGTGTACTTAATTTAAATTTATACTAGTATATGGGCACATACAAAGTGTGTGATACAAAATTACTATTTTTCCCTCCTTTTGTCGATAGTGTGTATCAAAAGTGAGAGCAAAATAGAAAAGAAAAAGTTGACAATAAGGGTTCTCATAATAGTATAGATATCTTATTTAATGTCATTACATTAAAATTAAAATTATTTATTATTATACACATTTTAATTCATTATATTTATTTTACTTCCTCTAATTAGTGTACCTAAACGTCTGTATCATAATATATTTTACTAAATTAGTGTACCGATATGTTCGTATCTAAATATATTGTAGTGAATTAGTGGCACATAAGAAAATATGCAAAAATATAAGTGTACCGAAAAATTCCGTACCTAAATATATGATACTAAACTAGTGTACCAAAATGTCGGTACCTAAATATATTATAATAAACTAGTGTACCAAAATGTCGGTACCTAAACATATTATACTAATTTAGTGTACCGAAATGTTTGTACCTAAATATATTGTAATGAATTAGTGGCACATAAGAAAATATGCAAAAACATGTGTACCAAAAAATCTTTACAAAAATATTTTCTTATGTAAGATACTTACCATAATGAGAATTAAAATTTATAATATTTTTATAAAATTTAAGATAAATTACACAAAATTACCTCAATTATTGATCTCACGACACTATCATACCTCATCTTTTAAAACTGACAATGTCATACCTCATTTTTAAAATTTGGTCCAATGTTATACCTTCCGTTAGCTTGGAGTGAATTTCTCAATTAACTGCTGACGTAACTTGATCCAATGCCCATTTTCTATTAAAAAATTAATAAAATATTATTAAAAACTAAAAAAAATCATTTAATATTTTTTAAATATTAAAATAATAATAAAAAGTTATTAAAAAAAATATCTCAGTTTGTTCCCTTCCACCCCCCTCTTTCTCTCTCTTCTCCCCCCCAACTTTATCTTCTTCCCCCTTCCTGCAAAGAAGAAGAAGAAGAAAAAAAAAAAAAAAAAAATTTGTCTTCCCCCCACCCCACCCCCTCTTCTCCTCGCACCCACCTTCTTCCCTCCACACCCATGCCCCCCATTTTCTCTGCACCCAGGTTCTCCACCCGCCTGGCGAAGGTTTCCCAATTCCACCTCAACGGAATCTGGGTTTTTTTTTTTTTTTTTTTTTTTTTTTTTGGGGTTGTAGGTAGTGGGTGCGGGGGGGAAGACAAATTGGGTTTTTTTTTTTTCCTTCTTTTTTCTAGGTTGCAGGAAGGGGGAAGAAGGTGAAAATGGGGGAGAAGAGAGAGAAACGGGGGTGGGGTGGGGGAAGGGGACGAACTGAGGGTTTTTTTTTATTATTTTTTTTAACTTTTCTTTATTATTTTAATATTTAAAAAATATTAAATGTCACATCCCGGCCCGAGGCGGATCACTTCCCGGGTCCCGCTCCACCACCGTAGCACGATATTGTCCGTTTTGGGCCCCGACCACGCCCTCACGGTTTTTTTTTTGGGAACTCACGAGCAACTTCCCGATGGGTCACCCATCCCGGGAATGCTCTAGCCCCCTTCTCGCTTAACTTCGGAGTTCCTACGGAACCCGAAGCCAGTGAGCTCCCAAAATGCCTCGTGCTAGGTAGGGATGAGAATATACATATAAGGATCACTCCCCTGGGCGATGTGGGATGTCACAAACCACCCCCCTTAGGGACCCGACGTCCTCGTCGGCACACACGCGGCCAGGGTTAGGCTCTGATACCAAATTGTCACATCCCGGCCCGGGCAGGACGACTTCCCGCCCCGCTCCACCACCGTAGCACGATATTGTCCACCTTCGGGTGCACTGTTGTAAGGCTTTTTTAATTTGAACTGCTTTAGGCTTTCTGCTCTGAACTGGTGTCTCACTTACGCTAGCACTTATTACTTCTAACTTATGTATGCTAGTTTTTATTTATTCGTACTTTTACATTACTATTTTATTAGCTTCCGCACTGTGCACATGGCTACGTCACTTCCACGTGACAGGCAACACGCCCTGATCTCGGTCGGGGTGTGTCATTAAATATTTTTTTTTAGTTTTTAATAATATTTTATTAATTTTTTCGGTTAAAGTACAAAAAATATCTCAACTATTTGTATTACGACACTTTCATACCTCATCTTTTAAAATTGACAATGTCATACCTCATCTTTAGAATTTGGTTCAATGTTATACCTTCCGTTACTTGGCCATTTACTTTTCAGTTAAATGCTAACGTGGCTTGATTCAGGACCCACTTTCTATTAAAAAATTATTAAAAACTAAAAAAAAATTATTTAATATTTTTTAAATATTAAAATAATAAAATAAAATAAAGAGAAAACAACCCTTAGTTCGTCTCTCCCCATCCCCCCTCCTCTCTCTTCTCCCCATCTTCATCTTCTTGCACCCACCTACAACCCCTAAAAAAAAAAATCCAATTTGTCTTCCCCCCCGCACCCACCCTCAATTTGTCTTCCCCCCCTCCCCACCCCCTTTTCTCCCTCCTGCAACCCAGGAAAAAAAAAAAAAAAACCCAGATCCCATCGATGGGAAGATGGGGTGCGTGGAGAAGGTGAAGGATGCGTGCAGAAGAGGATGTGAAGAATGGATAAGAATGGTGGATTTGGGGTTGGTAGGGGGGACGAACTGGTTCGCTTTGGATTTGTTTTTTTTTTCTTTTTCTTCTCCTTCTTCTTCTTTCTAGGTTGCAGGGGGGACGAACTGGGCTGGGTTGGGTTTTTTTTGGGGGTGGGGGGGGGGCGGGAACTGGGTTGGATTGGATTTTTTTTTTCTTTCTTCCTCTTCTTCTTCTTCCTTCTTCTTCCTCCTTCTCCTTTTGCCTCTTCTTCTTTTTCCTCCTTCTCCTTCTCCTTCTCCTTCTTCAGGGCGCGTGCGGGGGATGAGGGGGGGGATTGATGGGTTTTCAATTTTTTTTTTTTGGTTGAAGATTAAGCAGGGAAGAAGATGAAGATGGGAAGAGAGAGAGAGGGGGGAAGGGACGAACAGAGGGATTTTTTTTTTAATTTTATTTTATTTTCTTTATTATTTTAAAATATAATAAATAATTTTTTTTAGTTTTTAATAATATTTTATTAATTTTTTAATAGAAAGTGGGCCCCAAATCAAGCCACGTCAGCATTTAACTGAAAAGTAAACGGCCGAGTAACAGAAGGTATAACATTGGATCAAATTCTAAAGATGAGGTATGATATTGTCAATTTTAAAAGATGAGGTATGAAAATGTCGTGACACCAATAGTTGAGGTAGTTTTTTGTACTTTACCCAATTTTTTAATAGAAAGTGGGCTCGAATCAAGCCACGTCAGCATTTAACTGAGAAATTCACGTCAAGCTAACGGAAGGTATAACATTGGATCAAATTCCAAAGATGAGGTATGACATTGCCAATTTTAAAAGATAAGGTATGATAGTGTCGTGAGATCCATAGTTGAGGTAGTTTTTTGTCATTTACCCTAAAATTTAATTTATGAACACCATAAAATTATAAATAAAAAAGAGAGACATTTAATATGCTGGCATTAAATAGAGTCTATGGACTAAAATCAATTTTTAATCTTGTATAAGACATTTTTCTAAACTTCATCTTATTCAAGGATTAAAATCTAGTTTTTAAAAAGTTTTTTTTACTTAAATTTCAAACCTTGCTCATATGACATTGCACATATTGATCCATTGTAGGTAAGTCCGGTTATGTAAGATTTTTCTCTCACAAAATTAAGACCACAAATAAGGCTTGTCGATTTGCCGAATACAAGAGCCGAGTGATTGTGTGTTGCAACATAGGCCATAGCCATTGATCTGCTCGTCAAACATTAGATTTTGCAGTAACTCTAAATTGTGTATCGAAGGACTTTAGAGCATGTCTAAGGGAGTAAGTAAAGTTTTTCTTTGTTGGCATGATGGCATCTCATACCAAGAACATAATAAAATGTCTATATAAGGTCAGGTGTTACTTTTTTCATTTGCTAATTGGTTTGCTACATTTGGTAAAGGTGCATGGCATAACAAATCAAACTTTACTACGTTTTATTTTATTTTAAAAAGAGATCAGTTAGTCGCTTCGTCAACGCAATTCACCCTTTAGGGGCCGAAAAATTTCATAGAAGCATTTCAGCCTCCTTCTCCTAACCACCATCATGCAGTTCACTACTTAATTGCTACCTCTCTTAAAAATACTCTTGTATATACTTTTTATAATTGTAATAGTGTTTCGAGTCGATGATATAATAAGAGGGGTCTTAACTTTTTTTACAGTATAAGTATGACTGACAAACATGTTAGTCGCTTTGGGTGTTGGCCCGTCTCTCTGCTCGGGGGTGAATCTCCTGGTAACTGGCACTAGAGGGGGGAAACCACTAGATTTGGCCCATCCTTGTCTGTGTGGTCCAGACTCCATCCCCTTGGCCGTCTTCCTTTTCCTTTGGCACCATCTGCCAAATGCAGTAAATAAAGTTTAGGGCTGCTTTGCAGATTCTGTGAAATGGTAATGGGTTGGATTTTGATCACATTTCATCTCTGTTCAAGTCTCCAACATATTGTTGAGTGCAAACCTTTTCACCTGAATTGAGATCCGCTCCAAATCTCTGTGTTTAAACTGACAGACCAAGAATATTCCTGACTACTCAATTTAAATCTTGCAGACTCTATTAGCCTATCACACTAGCCCGCATCACACAAAACCAAGCCTTTAAAGTTTAAACAGCTTGAATCTGTCTCATAAACTGACCGAATTTTCTGGTCCGCCGGCTACAGACACAAATCTGGTGAAGATCTCAACTGCCCTTTCACTGACCTAAAAACGGAAAAACAGTGTGAAACTTTTTTCTCTTTTTCTACTTTTTAGCGCTTACATGTAAATGCTATCAACCACGGGGTTCCTTGCGACGTAAATATGTTATTGCTGTTGAGATGGGATTGCAAGTCTCTAAAAACCCCTGTTTGAAAGTTTCACAAAAGTAATAACTTTCAAACTGAAATGTACTAATTTCCTTGTTCGGGTTTATAAACATAAAATTTAAAATCCAATGTGAGTAAAAAATCCATGCAATCTGGAGGTCATGAATCCTGAATTTTAAGCTTCATCTAAGTAGTGTCATTTCTAAAAATCCCAAGACAGTAGGAGGCTTAGGAAAAAAATCACAACAATATATATTCTCACAACCACCCTCACCACCTTGCCACGGTCACCAATTCACCATGCCCCCACCGTCACTGCCATTGCCGCTGGCATCACCCCCGCCCGTAACTTACAGGTTGATTGCACCTCCATCATGCCTTAGAAGAGAGCAATTTCTCTATCATCAGTCCATTTGTACCGTTTACAGCAGCATGAGCACCTACTTCTTATACGTCGTATTGGGACCGGGGGTTGAAGGGCTGCCATGGCTTCCACCGCCTCCGATTGAAAGAGTATTGGAATTTATAACCTAGGTAGTTTCTTGATGCTGGCCAACAAAAGCAATTGATATCGTTCATCCATCATAACCAACACCAGAAAACACAACTTAATCCTGCTCTCTTGAGCTTAAGGACTGAAAATCTAGTGATGCATCAAACAAATTGTATCCATAAGCTCCTCCTGCCAGAGACACACGCAAAGATTATAGGAATCAAATTTCTTTAAGGTGAGTCTTTGTCAGAGAAAATTTCCGATTCTGTCCATTAACAAGGAGATGGGTAGGAGTAGGCTATCCCCAGAGTTTCGAACCCTGATAGTGCCCAAAATTCACGGCTCGTTTGGTGCCTAGGATTGAACCAGATAACTCACTATACTGAAGTTGAAGGAAGAAATAATGAAATTTTGTCCGACTTCGAAGGAAGAAAATGTATTAGTCCTGAAGGGAAATTATCCCTTCTAATCTAATCCCCTCAAAAAGAAAAATCGTCTACATCCACCCTCATATATACATTTAATCATAATGATTTATCGAAAACGAATCCAATCTTAGACACCAAACGAGCCATTAGTTAACTGTGTATCTATTTTGATGATTTTCAACATAAAATGCATGATCTATAAGATAATTAAGAGGCAAAAGCAGAGATATACTGGTTTCTTTTCCAGACAATTATCTACTACAAATTGGCAGCTGCTAGCCTAATTTGTATGTAAAAACATCTAGGTATTCTGAAAAGACTATAACAAAATAATGCATGAACTTCTAAAACATCTGGCTCAACACCTCATCATTACACCGGAAGAAAAAAAAAAAAAGAGATTCTCAAAACAGAATACAAGAAGTCCACTCAGATGACCAAAGTCCAGTGAAAACGGAATAAAGGTAGAAAAGGGCATACCGTAGATGCTCAACAGCATGACCGCAATATCTCATCCAAGACGCGGTAAATGAGGCGCCCCCGGACTCAGTCATTGGATTGACAAAGTTTTAAACTTTACATTCTACAATCTACACAATATCAGAAGAAAAGAAAAAAAGTACTATATAAAAACACAATGTACGAACGAAAAATTACAAATTCAAAGAATTTGACCTCTTCCACTCCTACAGTTGATCAAAATACACTCGTCTTTCAAATGTACACCCCATTTCTTCAGGAAGCGATGCAAGACGAATGTGGTTTCCATTTGTACTATGGGCTTAGATTTGTAATCACGCGATAAAAAGAGAAGAATATGTTCTTGAAATCAAATCAAAGCTTGGTTTCTCCATCTGCTGCCTAGATGCTGTCCTAAAAGCATATATTCTTAAAACCAATGTGCACCATCAAAACCGTCAAAAAGCACGGAAACTATCATGACACCGAGATCAAAAGGCATTTAATTTCAAAAAATCCAAACACCCTTGCCATCGGTATCAAAATTCGACATCTTCCCCGATTCATTTCTAGAAAATTCTTAACGATCATCACTTCCACACAACAAAAACACCAAAAAAGTGCAGAAATTGATAATAATATCCTTCAAATTCAATCCATTTTATATGAGGAAACATTAATATCTAAGTGGGGATTGCAATCTTTGGAATAAAATTCATTGCTCTCAACAAAAGCTCTCAACATCCCAAAAGTAAAATTTGGGTGCTCAGGGTCACTGGTCTGAGACCCCATTGGGGAATCCAGAGTTGGGGATTGCGTGAAACAAAAGTAACAACCCTTATTACCACCACCATTACCGCCATCTCCTCCAAACCTCTTACCTGAAGAAAAAGCACAAGACGACGCAAAATAGGAAGATCCAGAAGCAGAAGCCCTTGGCTTGGCTTTTCTGGGAAGCTGCTTTTTGGATCTTCCAAACGGACGCAGGACCACCTGCTTGGCCTTTCGGAAATTTCTCGACAACCCACCACCACTAAACCCTCTCTGCTTCTTTGCCTTCTCCTCACTGCATCCGCATCTTCCGTGCGACCCACCACTACCACTACCACTGCCGCCGCATTCCTCGTCATCGTCGTCGCCATCATCGCCCACCACACAGCCACCACCACCACCACTGCCGCCAACAACGCTTGATATCTCCTTTTCAACCAAAGACATCAAATTTATGTATCAATTTCGATGCTTTTCACCAAAAGCAAACTCCAAAAAGACCAATAATTTCATCAAAGCTTTGAAATCGATCAAAAGGGTTGAACCAAAGGAGGAAATGGCGACGACCCAGATGAGAATTCGAATTGAATTTCCAGATCTTCTTGAAGAACGGACAGAAACTAGAGATTTCTCCGCCAATGTTGCAGGAAAAATCTAAACTTCGTGTTGGGTTATAAATTTTCGGTTCTCAAGTCCCCAGTCCCAACCCAAAAGAACTGTAAAAAGCGGGAAGAGGACGCGTGGTGGTTTTCTGGTGGGTTTAATGGCATTTGGTGGCGGTATGACTTTGATTAGTTTAATTTTTAAAGCCCAAAAGCCTTATCCTTTCTTAAGTCTTCTCTAAAGCTTCATTTACACTCGCTTTGGACCTATTTTTATAGGAATGTGCTATTTATATACTTTTTTTTACTTTTCATACACCTCTTGTTAATTTATGTTTGTTGATCTTCTTCAATTCATCCGATCTGACAATCAAAAACTAAAAAGATGAGGGAGAAGTAAAAAGCGATGTGTAAATATCACACCATTTTTATATTCCTTAATACTCTTTTTCTATTTTCCTTTCACATGTTTACTTCACGGACTCGTATTAAGGTTGAGTATCGTGTTCATTTCGAATACGTCTTGCATTTATTAGTATAAGAAATTAAAAAATGGGTGGATTCACAAAAATAAGCATTTGATCAATCAAGCATCATTTTTTTCACGCGAGGTTTATCAATGTGTTTGGAATATGAGACGAAACATTGCATGTCATTAAATAATTAGATAGAATTTTTTTTTTTTCAAGTACACCTCTAATTGTCTAATAACATATAGTATTCAGTCTTGTGCTTTGAGCATACTGAAAAATCTCTTCCTTTTTCAAGATTTGCCTCATTTTGATATAAATAAGAATGTCATAAAAGTTATTGTAGTGAACAACGAATTTATATCTTAAGATAAAATACTAATATAAAATTGGATGATGCTTGCATTGTCCTTTTGGGAGATAAACTCATTCATCTATGTGCAAAAAACGTATCTTCATTGTAAACGTTTCATAATTAGAACCGTTCAAAAAAATAATTTGAATCAGGTTCGTTTAGTCATCCAAGTTTATCAAATAAATCAATGGTGTAGGAACTGTTGGATTGTGATTTTTTTTTTTTTTTTTTTTTTTTTTTTTTGTGATTCCAACAGGTACCAAGTATCATATTCATGATGAAGCATCTATTTATTTGATACATTTAGATGACCAAACAAACTTCAAGTCGAATGATTTTTTTGGGAATGATCTTCGAATAAAAACTAAGACATTGAACGGTTTTTATTATGAAATTTTTTACGATGAAGATATGTCATGCGCAATTGAAAAACACAAATATTATCCTTTAAAATTCACATGTTATAACATAGGTAAATCTTATCGTCCTAATCATTGGAAATGTGTAGAGATGTGAATTGTGATTTTAATGTGTGACCATTTCTCCTGCTATGGTTTAATTTATCAATTGGATTACCAAAAATTTTGATATGGAGATATGAGATATCCAAAAGAATATATACTTTTTTTTTTTAAGGCAAAAGAATATACACTTTTAAGTCTATCATTATTTTATGATATATGAAAGGATGCGGACAATCAATTGCTTGAGACATCATGAAAGATTTTTGAATGTGATTAATTTTTATATTGATTAATGCCGCAAACATGTATAAGCAACTTGTAAGCTCATAAATTTTAAGAGAGTTTAATTAACTTTTAAATACTTTACATAGATTTTTGAGTGAATTTTATTTGAATTGTAATGGAGTTTGTGAGAACTTATCATAGATTTTAACAAAGATTTTGATTGATTCTCGTGGATTTTTTGGTATTCCGTTATAAAATTTCCTCTAATTTCAAATTTTAAGTAAGAGTAATGCTATTCATACCATATTTTTGTATCACATTTTTGTACTACCTTAGATGACATCTGATGTGAATAGCCACTTTATTTAAAAAATTTGCAAAACCCAAGCAAAGGAAGGAGAAAGACTCCTCGTATACTACAATCATTATTTAATTAACTAGTTTTTCTTAATTATTAGTTTATTAAACAATGAACTAAATTTAAAAATCTGATTAATTCAAATGATGTGGCTGTCCACATCAAATTCTACCTAAAATGATATAAAAATATGGTACAAAAATATGGTAAAAATAGCATTACTCTTTAAATAATGCAAAGTGGCGGTGGACCTTCATGTGTGATACTATCGGTGGTAATACAGGTAGAGTCATGGTGGCAGAGGTATGGTGGTGAAGGTGGTGGTGGCGGCGGCAACATGGTAGATGGTGGCGATTTCTTGTGTTATTAGCAAAGCCAAAGTAGTTCACTTCAAACACCACTTTAACTTCAAATGAACCAAGAAAAACAGAAACAATGACAAGTTACCAGTCATGCATGAATTGCAAAAGATTTCTGGTAGAAAGGTTTGGTGAAGGCATGACGGTTGGACAGGATCAGATGAGTGCGTGCATGATTTTGTATGTCCTCAATAACATGGTGTATTTTACAGGCTGGAAGATTGGTATGAAAGTTCTGTGAGTCCACTTTTTGGTTCCAACTTCTAATTAATAATAATAACTATGGAAATTATGCAATCAAAGGATGAACCGTGGTTTCAATCCTCAAGTTTCTAACTTTCTATCACACACACACACACACACACACACACACATATATATATATATATATTTCAAACGTGTATGTTAAACTACTCTAATTTATAAGGAAGAAAAGCCAATATCTGAATAAAGTAATGAGCATACTATCATCATCAACTTATATACAATTCAATTTCTTAATACAAAAGAACGAGCGTACTATCGTGATCAACTGACCTAATTGAGATATACTAGTCTACTTTCTCTCATTATTATTTGCAAGGGGACACATCAGTTTCATAATTCCAGGAAACCATGAAAGTTGTAGCAGACACGTAGAGACCCCCATGCATCCTTTTTTCAAGATATGTATATACTTCAAAACTAGAAAACATATATACTTCATGATGTTTCAAATAGAATAAAAGTTTGGTAGGTTTGAAAAGATTATCAAACAAAAGCTGATCATTATGATTGAACCATCGCTGTAAAGAGAGCAAAGGTTATGCCTTTTGCTCCCTCCTCTTTCCATTTCCTAGCTTTCCAACTAAAACTACAACCCTAACCTACTTTCTTAAACCCACCCTCCCTCCCTCTTCTCACGCCCTATATATCTCTCTCTTTATGTACAGACGAAGAGAAGAGCATTGATTGGTCCAAGTTTATTTTTCTCGTCCAAACGGAGAGTTACAGGTGATGAACTCCGACTTGAAATGAGAAGGGGATATCGGAAATTGTGGCGGGTGGTGCCGTGCATGAGCCGGAAATATTTTCGGACAGACTCCTGGAATGACATAGAGGAAATACTCAAGAGCAAGCTAGCAACCATTAAGGAGGAGCCAGAGACATGTGAGGAAAGTGTTACGCCGCCGCGACTATGGCGGCTGGTGAAGAAGGGGCAGAATAAGATGGGATCAAAGGTGGATGTGGCAAGGCACTTTCTCATCCCAAATTTCAACCTCAAAGAGACTTATTTTCTGTTCATCACTGGTTTTGCATCTAAAAGCAGGTAGCTTTGGTGGACTCCCTCCAAATTCCAGTGCTGGTTGTCTTGTGCATTAGAAGTAGAAGAGAAACTTATGTTGGGATGCCACACATGTCGTATCTTAAGTTAATCACATATTATCCTGCTTTTTAACTTTTATATATGACAATATGTATTATATAGTTTGGAAAACCGCGGTTGTGTGTGTGTGTCTGTGTGTGTATAGTCCTTTGCCTTCACATGTGATTGGCATATTGCACTTTTTATCTATATTGATCAGTTGTGTATTATGTATTAATTGAAGTGGATTATATTTTATCATCATCATCATCATCATATTCCCATCCACATGAATTCACTTCTTTCATTTTCTCTGCCACAAAATCATTCTTTCAAATGTCATGGATTTTAACAAGGGTAGTTTTGTTTAAAATCAACAAAATGTTACAATATATATGATCACAATATATTGTATATTATGTTAAGTATAAATAGGTAAATCTAAAGATTTTATGGTACACTAATGCACCAGTTTCTCTTAAACCGTCAATGTTTTCTAAAAAAATATAAAGTTACACTAATGCACCTAAAACAAACAGAAAATACATTGATGCGATTACGTAACAACTCTCAGCCCTTTTTTTTTAATTTTTTGATATTTATGAATAGTTAACCCGATTTTAGACTATGCATTGCATCATCTGTTCTGTGAATTCAATTTATTGTAGTTGAATTAATAATATCAAATGTTCGGCTAAAATTCAATGGTAGAGTCGGAATGCAAGGGGTGAGTTTGAATGAGGGGACTTAAGACTTTCTCTTATTAATTTTAGACCACCCTTTAATATAAATAATATTGTTTATTCTAAAAAATATTCTTAAGGTCCTTCCCTTAAATTATGTCAAATTTGACCCAAGAAATTGATGGCTCAACCAAAATTTGGGCTGATCAGTCCAGACACAAAATGGAATAGATTCTAGATTTTCAAGTCAGCCTAAAATAAAATGCAGACAAATACAACATAAGATCATCTTCAAAGAAGTTGTCAAAATTACCACGTAGACATACAACAGTAAAAAATAGCAGCAAACTCTCTCCAACCGAGCCTTCAATTTCTTATGTGGCGCTGAGTCATTTGAAAGCAAGATCTTTTGCTGTCAAATTTGACAGTAGA